ATAAGATGGAGCTAGGTTGTTGAGGGCTTTGTAGGTTAGAAGTAAGGTTTTGAATTCAGTTCTGGATTTGACAGAATTAATTTGATCAGATTTAATTCAAACAATGTTTACCTGCGTCTCTGTAAGCAAAATATTTCCTGGCAGATTTTAATGAAACTTTCAGGACATAAATCATTTGAACTGCTTACCTTTAGAGTCATCCCAAATTCAAGATGGCTGCCACAGCTAATCAACATTAGCTGACATGAGCGTGTCTCTTAGTCAGCTGATTTATACGAGCTCATGGGGCTGGTAGTAGCTGAGAGTTACTTGAAGAAGATTGCTTCACGTTTCTAATTGTGGCAGATTTTTTTATTTTAATACAGTTTGTTTTCTGTTATTCTTTTCTAATGTTATTCTTATAACGGAGAGTTTTAAGACGTCACGTAAAGGTTCATGAACTGCTGTTTGAGTAAAATAAACTGTTTGATCCTGGGACCTGCGGCTCCAAACCTTAGAACAATTAGACTGGTTCCTGTTTTAAACTCTTTGTTCTCATGTTGAACACGGAGTGACACGTTCACTTACGTCTAAATTTGTTTGTTTGTTTACACCTTTGTCTTATAGTTTATTTTACTGATGAAACGACCCGACTTTAACGGCAGAACAAAATCCACTTCTGTCTTCCTCCGACCAGCCGTTAGCTCATCAGTTTGTGGAGCCACGTGCAGCAGGTAAGATGTTAACTCTTCATAATTTAACACAACCCCCTTCTTCAAACTGTATTGTGTGTTTGCGGCGGCAGCTCAGTAAAAGTTGTGTTTTCATTCAAACGGCTCTTTGGCAGTGAGAGGACTCGTCTCCATTCTCCGCTCGTTTAGAAGCTGTTTCACATTTAGAAGCTGTTTCACATTTAGAAGCTGTTTCACGTCAATGGCTCCGCTCGTTTAGAAGCTGTTTCACGTCAATGGCTCCGCTCGTTTAGAAGCTGTTTCACGTCAATGGCTCCGCTCGTTTAGAAGCTGTTTCACGTCAATGGCTCCGCTCGGCGGCTTTCTGCCGTTCGTCCCGTTCAACCGCCTCATGGCCGCCGTCGGAGGGAGGCCTTGTCCTCCGGAGCGGGGAGCGTGATGTCAGCGGTGGCAGTTCGGGTGTAATTGCCTCGGTGGGGGTGATGGCGTCATTTTCTGCCCTGCTGTAGCCTCCTGCTCCAAAGAGCGAGGGGAGACGGATCCTTGGCCGACGCGACCGTGGCTCCCTTCGCCGGGCTCGAGCACCGCGGAGCCGGACACGCCGTCCCGGGAAACATGGAGGCTGCGGCCGAGGAGCTGCGGGCCGGCGTTCGGGTTCCTGTCACAATCGATCATATCGTTAACGACACGCTGGTGGTCACGCTCACCTACCGGGAGAGGAACTACACGGGAGTTTTACTGGACTCGAACAAAAAGTAAGTTTTGATTTATTTACATTTTGGG